AAGTGAAGCTGGGAAACCTAAATATAAATTATTAATTATTAATAAAATCTATATTCAAGCTTCCTGGTTTTCACTTACAGCTGTTTTCATAAATTCTAGGACATCTGGCAAAAAATTGATTGCCGAATATTTGCCAATTCGATTTTGGTAATGATAATAGCCGAATCAAAACTTATCGAATCGGCAAATATTCGGTCAGTTAATTTTTTGCCAGATGTCTCCGAATTTATGAAAACAGCTGTAATGGCATTCAATTATTCTGTTCACAGGCATAAAGTAAATTCAGCACAGATTCTTTACCAAATTTTATATACACTAATATAAAAACTATAGGTTAAATATACATATGTGCTTAAATCATCCATCTTAATAAAAATTATTATAGCACTTAGCTGAAATTAGTCTTTCATAATTGCCGAATTACTTTTCATACTTGCCGAAATTATTTGGCTCTTTCACCAAAATACAATCAATTCTGGAATATCTATTTTTTTCCAGATATATTTAGACACATATCTATAAGGCTAAGGTTAATACAATATGAACTCATGAATAATAATAAATAGATACGTATACATGCATGCATACAAAAATGCATGCACTGCTATTGTTTGAATTTGATGCTATTGTTGGTAGAATATAGACTAGCTTTTCTTGTTCATTTAGCAGATACATACAATACGCACAATTGTTATTCTTCAGCGAAGGTTAATTAGATTTCAAGAAAATAACCTTCATACTAGATACAACATCAGTTCATAACCAAACTGATATTATGCATATAATTCTCTAAAAGAATAACAATTGTATGTATAATTCTATCGTTGAAATTTTATTCTAAATCAAATTTAATAACGAAATTACTTTCATTCATTAAAAAAAAAGAAAGAAGTAATGCAATATAAACAGCAAAAACTATATATAAATAAATAAAAAAAGACCTTAAAACTTCAATATACTTACTGTTCAAATAGAAATCACACTAGTAAATGTCAATACACGATTCTCATCAGCTTAGTTCCTACAATAGTGATACTTTAAGTTGGCTTAATGAAGATGAATTAGATGAATCAAATGAGTTAAATGATTTAAATACATCAAATATATTAGAAAATGTACATGACCTAGATGCTGAATCAGGTTCGAGTTCTCCTGATCAACCTCTGTCACATAATAGTGGCGTTACTGTTACTGTTGCTAATAGTTTAGGTAAAAGAGTTCGAAAAAAAAGAACTTTTACCCATTCCAAAAGACCGAATCCGAGAGAAAGTTGGGTGTGGACTTATTTTAGAAAAAATAAAGTTGAAAAAAAAATATATTGCAAAGTTATAGTCGAAGATAAAGATGGTTTAGAAAAAGAATATAGTAATGACTACGAATTATCAACTGGAACAGGCAATTTAAAATCTCACCTTCGTCAAATTCACAGAATTTTGCTGCCTGAAGAAAATAATAATCAGAATCAGTTAACCAAAATAGCTTCTAACCAACCATCATTACATGATTTTATAAATAAAAAAACA